ACAATCAATGTGTTACATCGCACGCTTGTGACACTATTTTGCCAAGTCTACTTCGTGAAGCAGGACGCAAAAAAAAACCCAAACATTATAGAATATGTATTCTTTAAATATGGCTAATTAAAAAGGTTGATTACCCAGTACAAATTTGAACAAATAAGTACTGTATTAGTATTAAAATCCAATTAATGAAATAATATTGTCATAAAATAATTCGACACGATCGTAAACACTATGGCTTTGATACTCGTCGAAATGTAATTACCGATACTACCGAGAACAATGCTGAACTAACATTCCCGAGATTACCATTCAATTAAAGTTAATAAAGAAAATAGTTTACATTTAGAGAAAACTAGTAAAATCTTACCCAATAGAATTCAAACTATCGATGAACTTACATATGTTAACTACGTGAATGCGACGAATTAGAAAATTAACTGTCAGATAGTAATTATTTTTCTCCTTGACAGTCAAAGTCAAATTACGTATATGTTAATTACTTAGCACTGTTCGATGTTTATAGTTTAAAACAAATTCCTTAAAGCGCATGCTCAAGTTCTGGCATACATGCTTATGTTATTGTGCCTGGGCCAACTGGTTCTAAAATAAGTCGTTTTTCTCCTGTTTACAAGATTCGATAAACTTTTCAACTCAATCGACACATATTTTTACTAGTCAATGCATAACTACAGTGCAAGTTCATTTTTGATAGCAAAAGTGCCCTTGTTTAATTTTGGGACAACATGACTGAATTCTGATTAAAGTTTCAATCAATTATACTAATGTAACAAATATTTTGTCCATATTATTTCATAATAGTGCAACGCAATGGTATATTTACCATTAAACTGACATCTCTATTGTACTTTTGTTGATTGAAATTACGCGAACACAATGGTGCACGTGTGGAGGGGATACAATTATATCTGGGACTCAGAAACGCTTGCAGTGTAAAATATGGGTGTGTGGTGCACTTATAAAGGTGCACTTGTATAGTACAATAGTTGTAAGCTATCCCTTAATGTCGTTGCAGATTATGCTTCACACAATGGTTTAATAGATCCTATCGTGAATAAGCTCCCCATTGTGATAAAGGAAATGTTTATTCTCGGTATGATTATCAAAGTATCAACGGGCATTCAAACCTCATTTTTTATCGGGCCCGCCAATTACCCCTGTTAATATTACTGCATTTTTCGTCTCGAATGAGAAAAAGTTTCTAGCAAATTGTTTTCTCTTTATAAAGTAAAGATTAATATTGAGACCAAACGTATTATCTATAGAGGTGGCTAAAAAAATTGTTAAGAGCAAGTTGACAAAGAATAAACTTATTGCTAAGAACGCAAATGAGACACTTGTTAGGTTATCGGGTCTATAATAGAAAATATTGTCACCCACGTTATCTATTATATAAAATTTGTAGGTAAATTATTTAAATTATAAGTGTAAACGCATTAGACGTCGCTGCTGTTAACCTTTGTCCGATAACTCTTATATCTGCGCTAATGTACATTACGTATCAATTTATTTCTTTTGTAGGCAGAACTCTTCGAATTTTTTATTAGCTATCGACATAGTAGACCATTTTTATGTAAACATTACGGATAAGTGCTATGATTAGTCTAAACATCATATTTAATTAAAAAACATAAATTTCAGTTATTCAAAAATCGAGTCACTAAATTATAAGATAATAGATAGACAATATTAATTTGTAAATTGACTTCATTCAGCATACATATAACTACTCATTGTCTTCATACTTGCCCCTACACCTCGTCTATCCCCTTTAACTCTATTCCTGAACTTGGCAAGTTGAAATCTGGTATAGGAGGTAACTGTTGGGAACAACCAAAATCATAACTGTTTCTCTGTTTAGGCAGATTTCCAGTAGGTAAGATCATACTAGAATACTTACTCTCCTCAAAGCCTTGATAAGGGTCTTACATCATTATGATAAACAGCATTCCATATAACATTGTTAGAATTATTCTTGTTTTATCAAAATTTACACTAAAATACTTTGCGAGTGTTAGAAAAACTTGTGAACAATTTGCCAGAAACTTTTCCGACAGCGAAGATGACATTACTGGTAAATTTCTGTTTATTTTATTTTTTTTTTAATTAATAGTTGTGATTTTGTTGTTATAACTTTAACTTCTTTCTTTTTTTTTTGACGGACCTGACGGCAAATATAGATATAAATGGGATGAATTTCAGCAGCTGTTAGTAAACGTTTTCGTCAACCAGATACCACCAGACGTACCGAGGAAATATATTCTCGACGCATTAAAAGAGATTAGAGTCTATGAAACGGATGAAGGCTTTAACGAATCGATGCAGAGATGGATAACCAGATTGGAAGGGTGGCAAAACGAAATGGGCAAAATTAGAATTGCTCGTAAATTAAACAGTATCATTGTTAATCGACCCCAATTGTAAACATATCAGAACGTTTAATAATTATTTTATGTAAAAATTCTTCTTCAGAAACCGCCCTCGTCCTGTTTCCAGACAAGTGAATAAATTGAAGAGCAAAATTACAGAGACTGATTTTTTCCCCATACGGAATATGCAATTCCATGGAACCAACTTAGAAGCATGTGGATTCTTTACGGTATACGAGATGAATTCCCCTAGGGTGTTAGTCTAAAAGAAATACGAAAAGCTTTCAGGACTTGAAAACAATCCTGGAGTCAACATAAACCAAATTTGTCAATGGAAGGAGAAGTTTCGAAGATGGATAAGTCTTGCTGAGTTAAATCGGGAGAATGTCGAACCTGGTAATTAACTGTATAGCATTTTGGGCTAAGTATTAATTCTACGATGTTATATTAATGTGACGTTAAATTTTTGCGAACAGGCTACCAACTTTCTGGCAATAATGAAGAAGCCAAAGCCAGCCAGAGTGAAAAGTGCTCATTGATTTGTTTATTTTTTTATGCGTAACCCCTATCTATAAACGCTTACTTAATTGTATTTATGAATTATGTAGTATTATTCCATTAACTCAGCATGCAAGATTGAGGGAAACAGCTGAGCTGAATACAGAAAAGGTTCGAAAGGAAATACGGGACCGACTCCTATCTAAGGGAAAAACTTTGAGAAAGTAACTATAGTGACCATCTTAATTCCACAGATCGATCGGTACAGTGTAGTAGTAGATAGATTGTTACTTCCTTGTAAGATAATCGAAAAAACAAATGGAAAGTATCGGTTGAGATTGTGCATCTGGGATTTTGAATGTCGCGTATGGTGCTAATGGGTTAAACTTAGTAGAAGCGGCTGAGTTTCCAGAGTTAGATAATATCCCTCAACGAACAATATCCTTAAGAGAGGCGGCAAAAGGCCAAAGAGTTGCGTCGAGTAGTCAAGTAAAGTGTAGTTGCAAAGGGGCATGTACTGATGGCCGATGTAGTTGTAGAAAAGCCAAACAGAGTTGTACAGTGTTAACTGTCTTAATTATTAAATTGTATTTATAGCTCATAATAAATCTGTCATATCTAGTATTTCTTTATTATTTATTAATCGATGATTTTCATCTATTTATTCATTTATTCATTTTGGGGACCTTGACGGGATTTACATACGACATATACATACAAATATGCTTCTTATTAAACGTGTATCGCACCGAGTAGAATAATAATGCGATAAAAGAAGTTCGGGAAAATTGTATTAAGCGCACGTTTATTAACTTATTCAGATATTCGACGCCTTTTATCTTCTCGTCTTTGGTAAAATAAAATTCCGTCATAAAATAACCCAAAAAATTATTATCATATCTATTTACCTAAGAGTTACATACGAGTCACCGCCTCGATTTCGAAAAGCTATATCTCGCTCTATACTCGAAATACTTTTTGCTTCGTTATTATTCTCACCGGCGCGCTAAGTCTACTCGGCCAATGGTAATTAATACCGGCACCATAATAGTATAGCAAGTATCGGTATAAAGAGGGTTGACTGTATATGTACTATGTAACCACAATAACAAGACTTATTTAATCAATATGGACAATAGAGATTTTCAAATTTATTGGACATACTTATGACGTCACATGTTTGCGAACAAATTCCATACGTCAAGACACACATTTTGTACCCTATGTAGGCTTCACAATTTCTTTACAATTAATATTCTGCACTTGATTCTGAGTTGCGTTGGCGTAATTATTTAACGCGTGGAATGATAAACAAGATTTGCTTTATGCTTCATTTTGGTTACCCTTGATAAGGGAGTGCAAAGACATATAATATACAAATGACACAAGCTCAAAAGTAGTAAAGTTGTTAAATTGATGAATCACACCCGCGATCCCACTCGCGGATAGAATTATAGATACAATTAATTTCAACGAAAACTGAGTAGATATAAAACTTTCTCTCTTTCTATTACGAATTACTGTACTTTATATAAATTAAAAGGTATTAAATCATCTAAATATTTCTATCGTGGGTTCAATTTATTTAATCTATTAATGGCTTTATGCATGCTACCTCGACCTTCTCTTAATGCTTTACGAGCCTCCTCCATGTCACACCCAGTCCTAACAAGCCACAATAGTTTCTTCGTATTCTTTTCCTCCTCTAAATACTCCTTCCATTGGCCTTTGATCTCGTCTTCTACTTCTGCACGAACTTCTTTCCTAATTGTCTTGATTTTCGCTTGGAATGTCCCACTAATCGGTCGATGATCAGACACTTTGCACTCGTATCTTTGATAATTCAATAACTTGATCCATTTGCCCCTGTATAGTATTCGATCACACCATGCAGGCGTACGCTTTTTCTCTGATGTATCATACACATCCTCTCCGGGGTTATACTTGTAAGTGGGTGCAAACGTAATACGACCCTCACTAAAAGACTTTAATCGGAAGCCCGGATTCTTTTTGCGTTGTTTTATCAATTGATCGCGTTCAAGGAGGTAATCAAAGTCCTTATTGTTTATCTTATCGATAGCCATCTCACGGGAAACCTCTATCCGATAGTTGAGATCTCCACTAAAGAAACAGATCTCATGATCAGTTATTATAGAACCATTCCCACCATCAACAAAGACCTGACCATATTCGTTACGAGTGTTTCTATCAAGGTCATTGGCTAAAGATTCGAATTCTATGTTTTCAAGTATCTTTTGCGCATCGTTGTTACGAGCAGTAACGCTCGTTTGTCCGGCCGCCAAGTGACAGTTTACGAAGCATACGGACGAATCATCATAGATAAACCGCATAGCAATGGCTCCCTAAATAAATAAGGGTTTTAGAATACATCGTTGTAAATAGATACCACGACTAAACCACCAGAATATTCACCTTATTCCCATGATACCCTCCTAGACCCGTCTTGCACTTCTTCACGCAGATGTCTTTGAGTGATCTTTCTTCCGACTCTTTAACAAAAATAAGCGAGAAAAGACCAACAAGATTTTCTGACACTTTTAGAGTGTATTTAGCAGACGAGTACTCTCGGACAGCTTTAACTAGCCTATCGCGCCAAAGACGGTATCTCTGGGTAATGTTCTCGTTCAACTGTTTGTCTGCCTTTTTCTTGGACATAAGCATCGTCTCTGCAATAGAGGCATAAGTTAGAATAATTTTCATCAATGATAAATATTGGAAATAGTGTCCGCATCCACTCACTCGCTGTCATTTTCTTAGACTCCAGGTCTATTATTTCTTGAAAGCCGATAACAATTATTTCCGGTGAAGAGGCGCTTGTGAACCAGAGCCTTAAAAACTTGGCATCATCAACATATTTTTCAAGATCAGGCGGCTTTGAGGCATCAATGTTCCACGAACAGATTAAAATCGTTATATTACGGTACTTGCAGTAATCTTGTTCATGTAAAGCCATATGGTTTGCTTTAAAGAGACGATGTGGATAGACGTGTAAGTTCAGTGTAATAACAATTTCGCAATCAGACGGAAGTAATGAATGGACGAAATAATTCATAATCATACAATTACGAACAAATTACTTACTAAGCCAATCAGACCTCAATAGACCATCCCAGACAGAGACTTGTCCTTCGTCACTCAAACTACCAACTTGTAGTCTATCAAGTCGCCATAACGCATCTTCATCTAACTTCATATCAATTACTGGGGATTTATGAGCCTGCCATTCTTTAAGAACTACCCATGAATCTTTATTCTTGACGTCGTAAAGGTATATTTTTCCAGTCTTATAACCAGCCCATAAATAATCGCCAACACCCAACAAACATGTTATGCAATAAATTGACGCTTGCACAACAGAAAGCTTATCCTTCGTTTGAGCATTCCAGATGGTCATCATTCCATTCTCGTGACCAACATACACAAGCGACACATCGTTGGTTTGAGTCATACAGGTCACACCTCCTAATCCAATATCCATAGTCTGCGAGACTATGTTAGAGCTACTTTGACCACTAGCAAAGCTGTGTATCTCGATAGACTTACCAGCCCCCATCCAAAGATCATTGTCTGCTATCAATGCACAAGTCTGTTTATTCGCAACGGATAGTGAGCGTGGCGTTGACTTGAGAGTAAGTTCATTCTGATTAGTTTCCGACCAAATGTTTAATTTACCATTATCATCAATTGTCCATAGTTGGCGTTTGTGAACAAGTATAAAATTAATGGAGTGATCGTGGGCCTTTGACGTCGTTTCTATAATGGTACCCATGCTAACGTCAACAACAAAAAGAGTTCCATCGGATGTGCCACACCATAGATAGCGTCCAATGTCTTCTAATTGTCTAGTGGGTCTGAACACTGACGCTGTCACTTTCGAATGGTCATGTGGTATAGAGCGTACATTTTCTCCCGTCTGTAATTTCCATATACGCATACTAGAAGAACCATCGGTAACCACCAAATCACCGGAAATGGCAAATGACTTTGGTGTGTGTTTGTTCTTAGGATTAATGTCTTTTAAATCATTAAAGCGCGGAGCCCATCGATTTACATGGGAAGAATCCGGTTTTCCAAGGCCACCTAACGGTGCATTCGATGATGATGATGCTTCATCCGACAAGTCCGACCCCGAATGGTCTCGACGAGACTGTGATGCGACAGCGAGGCGAGGCTTTGCTCGATAATTTTCGGAATCGGGAGTTGGGTTTCGCTGCGGAATAGCTGGTCGCTGTAGCTTATCGGACGATTGATGAGCCGTCTTGTGAGGAGATATTACATTAGTTGATCTATCGTCTGTCCTCTCGCTATTTGAAAAAGCGCGTATCGATGGACGTGGCGGTAAAGCAGGCTTTACGTCTGATTTACTACGATTGTGTTTCAAGTTGTGTCTTTCATCTAATTCGATTAGCGTTTCGGCAGATCGCGGAGGTCTGGTTGGAATAGATGGTTTTAATGAATTCCTATACGATGGTCGCACCTGGACATCGATTACCGCTTCATCTCCAAAAGGAGAGGATAATGTGGCTGCGGCTCGTGATAGTGATAGTGAAGATTCGATCGGTAGCGGAGCGGGGCGTTGCAATCTGCGTCTCTCTGAGAAAGATCTATTAGTTGGTCTGTCGGATTGATTGACATTAATGTTGTCATAACTATCCTCAGTTCCATGTTGATCTACATCATTTTCATCAGCGAATGGATCTTCAAAAGGATTGACAATTTGGTGTGTGACCGAATCAGCAGTTTGAGGAGGACGGGGTGGTAAAGTCGGTGTCTTTGATGGTATTTTGTTTGTAACATGTAATGGTTTGGGAGCGCCAGTATTGACATGTTGTGAAGACGTCAAGGGCGGTGATTTAACGTTTTCCAGCTGGTTTGCGAGGGTCAACACATTTTGCGGTGTCGATCTTGCAGGAACTTGTGTAGGCGGAGGCGGTGGTGTGATTGTCCTTGAAGTCTGCTGCTTTTGTTGTTGCAAATAATTTAATGTATTTATAGCTGTTGCTACTTTAGAAATTGGCATCTTGCGAGTAGTTCCGTATTCATAACTCTGTGAATCAGACGTCTGATCAACTATCTCTTGTTGCTGCTGCTGTCGCTGCTGCTGCTGCTGTTGTTGCTGCCGTTGTGGAGCAACAACGACGTCGGCTACAGAACGATGTCTACCGGTAGATCCCCTACCTAACGATGTACTGGCTGGTTGTTGTGACAATTGTTCAAATCTTGTTTTGAGTGAGGAGAAAGAGCCTGCGTTCGGCTCAGTATCAGAGCTGGTGCCCTTGTTCTGGTCAGTCTGTGCTAACGAGGAGGCTGGGTGAGATCGTGATGAGTCATGGAGGCAACAGCTGCTTCCTTCACAAAAGACTTACCATGAGTAGTAGAAGCTATAGTCGAGTTGGTAGATGGAGTCGAAGAGAGCAAAGAATCACCAACAGCATTTCTGCGATGAACGTTGCTCATGATTGCGGCTGGGTCATTCGCGGTGAATACTAATTTGTTAAGCACGCGAAATAAAGTCAATAAGTAAGATGATTCCCGAAAGGAATATATAGACGGACATTGTTCCGCATGTTATAGTAGTGACACAAGTGAAACTTCAAAACCCAATATAGCGTATTGTGTTAAAAGTAGCGTTAGTCTGCATGTTCATTTGGTCATTTATGTGGGAGTTTCACATTAGTATTAGCATGACAGCCTTAATAAAGACCACAATTCAGTAGGAAATAACTTAGTAAAGATCACAAACGCCGATACTCAGCACTGCATGTTGTATAACAAGCTGCCAACGCCTTGTATTATTGTGCTTCCAACAATTCACAGGAGCAAGCCAATACTAATACTAATGGTCAACAAAACAGATCAAAATTTCTCGTCCTTTATGCTCACTTTGTGTTTGTCCATTCTTCTAATTTTAGACATGTTCCATGTGCGCTTTTGTGTTATCTTCGGTTCAATTTAGGGGTTTTTTAATTCTCAATGTTAATAGTAATAGTAATAGCATGATTACGTCATCTTAATCCTTATGATGTGACTGCATTTGGCGATGCACAACTTTTATAATACATCCGTTATCGTCGCTATTGAAGATTGCAAATATTGAATTTAAATTGTTAAGCAACCAAACCATGACTTTGCAGTCAAATGGTGACCATCAATTTTCCTTGTTGATAATGAAGGATTACAAATTAATAAAAAGAATCACGAACACCAAACACAATTTTATGTTTTATCTGTGGCAATTCGTTAGTAGGTACTCAATGAAAGAAGGCGAATTACAAATTCCACTATTATTTTCTAACCTCCGTGTTTTGTTATTTAAAGTTTTGTTATTAGAACAAGGTATTTACGTTTATCAGTGTGATAATCATGAACACTTTCAAGAAATAAGACTGCCATCGTGCCAGTCTTGCCCTTGTTTTAATAGGAAAAGCTTGTATTGAAATAATAGTCGCCACACACGAACCTTGTGCTTTAAATGCAACAATCAATTAATAATGTCAGGATAGATATTACACAGGCACCATTCCTGCAGTTAATTAATTCTCCTTGAATTGTAAGTGATAATTATAATGTGATAGTGACAATTGGGGTTTTCATATGAATGTGACAAGAATGAATGAAAATCACTAGTGAAAATTTAACCTTGTGACACATCTGGCCCTTATCTACGAAATGGACAATAGCATTCTCGAAGAACATGACCTTTCTTTATTTCAGGTGAATAATCCCGCTACTGAAATCCATTATGAAGCGTTTTTCTCTAATGATATGTTAGGAACCAGAAGGTTTTCGGCCTCCTTCACCCGAGCCAACATTCCAAGTATTCGAACGGCAACCTGAGCACGTCGAGCCTGGTAAGGGCTATAGTTAACACAACGATAATCATTTCTGTGGGTTTCTCATTCTGGTTTGATTTCCAGGCACTTTAGACCGGCTGACCGTGCGTCTAGTTGGATCACACCCGCTATGGGGTCACTACTTGTGGAATGCAGCAAAATGTCTTTCGTGGTATTTGGATGAGCACAAGGAACTTGTCAGAGGAAACACGGTACTAGAATTAGGTGCGGGTGCGGCTTTGCCCTCTTTCGTAGCTATGTTGAACGGTGCTGAAAGGGTATGCTTGTAACATTAGTACTTGATTGGTTGATTTATTTGGTTTCAAACTTGTACAATGAAGTGTGTATTTGTCTCTTAATCAGATCGATGATTTGTAGGTTGTGATTACGGATTATCCTGATAATATATTAATACAAAATATCGAGTATAATATGTCTAACATATTTTCCAATTCACACGAGCGCGAAAAATTTGCTGTTATGGTAATTACTTCCGTCTACCATCTACACTTCATACACCTTTCAACTTACACTTATCGTCTTCAGGGCCATGTTTGGGGTAAGGATACCCGCCCCCTACTGAATCTTCTTTCAAGCAATCCATTACAATCCTCCGATTCCGTCTCACCTCTATTCGATCTGATAATACTTTCTGATCTGATATTCAATCACTCACAACACCATGCCCTTCTCTCTACATGTCAATCATGTCTGTCTCCATCTGGGGTTGCGCTCGTTTTCTACACACATCATAAACCACATCTCGCACATAAAGATATGAATTTCTTCGAATTAGCTCAGAAAGAATTTGATTTTCGTGTGGAAAAAATCTACGAAAGAAGAATGACACCGATGTTTGAGAAAGATCATGGTGATGTAAACGATAGAGCTACCGTGCATGGTTATAAAATCTGCAAACAATGAAATGTAGAGAACGAGTGGTATAGGTAAAGGATTGATGTGTTCGTTTAAGTTATATACTATGGAATGAATTACTTCGAAAAAACATATTGATATGATACTTTCTGCGTTCTTGTCTCTGTAACAAATATAAGTTTGTATCCATTACATCAACGTTTGAATCATGGACAAGAATCTCATTGATTACGCATGACTAACTGCAGGTCGTAGCCATAGTACGAGGCTTTAGTAAACCTGTTCCAAAGAAAATTAGAGACGAACATCAATATATTTGTTCTTCAGCTTGCTCTTTTGTTAGACTACAAAAGACTTGACGCACAAACTAGTTAGTTTTTAATCAGGTTAAATATTGAGAAGAAGAAGCATTAATATAATATTAATTAAAAATCATTTGGAAGTTATTAAACGCGGAAAGCATAAAAATCTGTTCAACGAATCGGAAAATTTCAAATTCAAAACTCAATTCCGCAGACGAAAAACGAAGCGTACAATGAAAAGCAAGTCATACTCGTACAAAATTTAGTATAAATTCGTTGGGGGGGTGTTGACATGTTGAAGCGTTGACAATGTGTTGACAATAGTGTCTTTAATAGTAACTTATTCACTATTGAATATTTATGATAGCGTCGTGGTTGTTGTTTTAGGTATGATATCGAATGTATATTTCGGAAGTGGGGAATATTGATATATACTGCATGTAGGCGTTTTTTAAACATGATTTAATAGTGTTTGCATTAGCTAATACCTTAGTTAAGCTGAGAATATCCCCAGGCTGAATGTAACAGAAGAAGAAATTTCAAAGACAAATTCTCCTATAATATCCTCAGGTTACATTGAAACTAAAATATTAAAAGTAAAAACATTAAATTAGATTTCAGCAATAAAATATTCTTTTATTACTGCGCGTTTTCTTTTTTAACGTCGGCTGGCACTTACTTCTCCACCATCCATTGCTTTCAGTTGGGCCATTAAAAATATATCTCGCTCGGTCTAGAGAGAGATTGAAACGCCTCACGTAATTCTCTCCCGAAAATTTTTTTGAGCAACCACAAAAGTATGGCTTTTTCGTATTCGGGAAGACCATATTTTTATACATATAAATTTTATCACTTTATAATAATATTAATAATAATAAAGTCAATATCAAAGTATTGTTTTTGATAGTTGGGTTGTTGCGAGATCTAAACCATATTATTGAGTTTCTATTTGTAATAAACCGCGTTTAGATATTTACTTGTTTTTCAAATGCATACTAAAATTGCATCAAAGTGTTAAACTAAATATATCAACCTTATCAAATATCTTTTGATGCTTTGAATGTTCAAGAAGGAAAGATACAAGGTTTTACCAACCTCTCCCGCCCAATCAAAGTCAACTACATTTATAAATTCATCTATTACTTGATAGAGAATATTGGGCATTCGCAATCACCATGCACAAATTCTAGAAAACTGTAAACTCGTTTGTTAGTGAATCTTTATTTACGGAATGCATCAGAAATGCGTTCGGTAACTTTGAAAATAAGGTCGTAGCTTTCTTTCCACGGCTGTTCAACTATCTTCTAATAGATTATGACAAGATTGTGAAGGTCCCTCTCGGATTTGTTTTAAGATAGTTCTTTATTTCATCAACTATGATTTTACGTTTAACTGCCCTACTTTCCCGTGGGGTGTTTACCCAAGACCTAAGTGGGAAAAAAATCATTAATATTTTGAGTAAATTTTTGATAAACCAATTGGCTGACTCTTCTGCAAGTGCAATATTGATAAATGTAACCAACTCAGCTAAATTTCGATCAATAATATTCTGAGAGTTGTTATGGCTGTAAAACCATGGTTGGGCCTGCTTGATCTGTTGTGAATGATGTTCAAAGACAAATCTACGGGCCTTATTATAAATCAAAAGACTAATTTCATCAGTAGAACTCTCTGGGAACGCATATATAAAATATTTAGATCAATGGGCTTACCACTGCAAAAATACACCACGGTCCGGATCCGCGAAAACTGGATCAATGTATGTAATGATAATAATAAAGTGGGTGGGTATCCAGATTTGATATTCTGGCTGGCAAAGTGCGAGCCAATCAAAACGTAGTTTTTAATTGAAGGAGAAAAATGGACATTTTATTACGGTCTATTTTATTCGAACCCAATTTTTAGTAAGTGGTCTTTTTTCAAAAGTGCAATAAATATCGTTCAAACAATACATCATTTACAGTAATAAAAACAAATCACTTAATAACACGGGAGCTTTATTGGTTGCGCTTACATTTCGGAGTTAACCACAAAATGGCCATTTCTTAGATGATTTCCCGATAATCATCGAATACAGGGATCAATAATTTTTTCTCAATGCTTGGCGCTTCGGTTAATTATTTACGAAATACATAATAATAAGGAACATTGTTGTGTTTCAGCACAGCATGTGTTGCAGCATTGTTATTTGCTGTCAATCATCAAATGTAGAATAGCTTGTCAAAAATTCCCGCATAAACTTGTATAGAAGAAGCAACTGTTACTAACAAATATCTCTTTAATTATTTGGGCTCTTGGCAAAACCCTGTGCCACGTAGTATTAGTGAAACAGAGTGGCATTCCGCGCTAGCCAAATTTGTTAACATCCTCAACGGGGTCCTTGAGATAGCGCTATTATAGTTAGAAGCTATGATTAAATACGAGTCCAACCATGGTTAGACTCGATAAACCGATCTAACGTGATCAAAAATCACAAGAGTATCAGTTGTAAACACAAGTCAAATACACAAACATGTTATTATTATGCAACTACCAAATTCATTACACCAAGGTTGCGAATAACACATCATATTTCGACAGATATCCTGAAAAGGAGCGATATGCCAATTCAGGCCACGTCTGTTTCCAAACCGAGTTAAAGCAACACATCCATTGTACTGGCTTCATGTGATTGATTGTTTACCTTAATTCGGATAAAAATACCCTATTACTATTACTATTGTGCAGCTAACAACAAGTTAGACATAGATGGAATTATGCATCCTAATCTGGCTAATTTCTCAAATTTAACGAGACAACAAGTTCGATTCATTCTTTGTTCCAAATTGTTATTTTTAGAATAAAAGTTTGTATGTGTGTCACCCGCATTGTATAATGAGGAGATTCTTTATTGGTCAAATGATCTTACGAGAAGGGTTAGGATAGAAATTTCCGTTATAAAAAATAGTAAATCTCCGACTAAATAACTTATCACTATACAATATCACGATAAATGATGATTTATGTTTAAGAGTGAAGTGAATGATAAGCGCTTTGCACAGTTTCAGATCGGCTCCTCATTGACTGTCCATATTCGTACACGTTTTTCCCAATTGGGGGGGGGTTCCACTGAAATACAAATAACAAACTATTTTTACGCGAACAATATATATCGTGTAACGAACTGGTTGAACTTAAACACCTTCTTGCTTTGAAGCGGAGAAGAACCTTCTTCAGTAACGAGACAAGAACGATGACGGCTATCTCGGATGCTTTTTTGAATATTCCCTACAAGTACTGGAGTCTGGTGACTCTAGTCATCCAGAACAGTACACTAGTAATAGTCATGCGATACACACGTATTGGTCCAAAGGAAGACTGGTATTCTACAGCGACTGCGGTTTTCATGGCCGAGCTTATCAAGTTGGTACTATCTCTGTGGTTTGCAATCAGAACTCAAATAGCAGAAAAGAACAAGTTTAATGCGTACGATCTTTACAGCGATGTATTCGCTGCAGACGCATGGAAATTAATGATTCCGGCAGCACTGTATACTATCCAAAATAACTTGCAATATATCGCCGTCACTTTCTTGGATGCTGCAACGTTTCAAGTCACCTATCAATTAAAAATCCTCACCACTGCTTTGTTTTCCGTGTTGATGCTCAAACGGACGCTAAGCGGCATGAAATGGATATCGCTAGTAATTCTCACCATTGGTGTGGCATTGGTATCCGTGCCGAGCGGTCATAAGGACGATGATAAGGTCTCTAGTAAGGATAAGGGATTAGAACAATTTGTTGGGCTTGGAGCGGTTTCGGTTGCATGTGTGTTGTCGGGTATTGCTGGTGTATATTTCGAGAAAGTTTTGAAAGAAAAGAAGGACAAGAAACCTTCCGTCTGGGTTCGAAACATTCAATTATCCTTCTTCTCGCTGTTCCCTGCATTGGTTTTGGGTGTTTGGTGGAAAGACGGCGATCTAATCAGCAGCCGCGGTTTCTTCTTTGGCTATAGTCCTGTTGTATGGAGTGTTATCTTGTGTCAGGCTATCGGTGGGCTTATTGTAGCAATGGTCGTTAAATATGCTGATAATATTCTCAAGGGATTTGCAACATCAATTTCTATTATTCTTTCGTTCATTGCTTCGGTTATTCTTTTTGCATTCCCTGTTACGTTGGTATTTCTTGCCGGCTGTGTTTTGGTCTTGGTCGCTACATATATGTACAGTCAACCAGATGTTCCGAAAGATTATGTGAGTCTTGCTGGCCAACTGCAGATGGATACATTTAAAGAGGACGAGTCTGGTGAACGTGTTAAAGCCGAAATGCGGCCAGTATGAGATCTACTCAAATTTAATGTACTTTTAGTATTTAAACTTTTTTTTAAAAAAAACGGACTGTTCTATAAGTAATCACGCTACTTCACCGTTTTATACAAGCAACGAATCAATAGATTTTGGTGGTAGCGATGGTTTAGGCGTGTAATGTTGAATTTAATTATTACCGATAATGATGACTGATAATTACAAATTAAACATATTACATCCGAACAAACTTCTTTACTGTCTATCTCAAATAATAGATTTAATTTATAGTCTATTGATGCATCTGCAGTTTTAACCGTTTGTGCTTTGGCTCTTCATCGTTCATTTTCTCTTCGTCAGATACAACATCATCTATAATCTCGTATTCTACACATGGTGCTTTGTGTTCTATTGGCACACCATGCTCATCGCGCGGTATAATAATACCGTGAAAGGGGCATCGAATCATGTCCTTGCGCGGGCACAAATGTCCATTCTTTAGTGGTGCACGACATGGTTGTATATCAAGTTTAGTAGATTGAAATACGTGAAGTGAAGGCTCTTGCGATCGAGCGTGGTTGTCGCGTCTTGTTGTCACTGATGGTTGCGTTGTCCTTGCCAAGGATGAGCCGACGTCGCTTGTCGTTCTTCCTTGAACAAATTCTGGTATTACCACTTCTTCAAAGTCGGAATCGGCGTCTGAATCGCTTGTTATTTTCGTAACTACATTATATACCACCTCGAATGTGTCAGAATACGGACATGGTGGCACGTATACAAAAAATACCCATTACGGTCAGACTTTAAAGAGTAATTAATCATACCTCCGTCATTAACACGTAATTCCTCACTCTTCGTTTTTGCCATTTCAAGGGCTCTCTTCAAATCTATTGCTTCTTTCATAAGCGCTTCACGCTTCTTGTCATCCTACAGGGGGAAAAAAAGTAACACATCAATATGGGCTATTACAGTCAAACCGCTTTCGTACAAAATTTACCTCCACATCTAACTTCATAAGCTCCGTAAGCCACCTAGATACAAAGCCCAAGTGTTTCAGCATCAATTTATAAGAAGCCCGAAGATTTTCATATACGATGGCATTATCGGACGTCTCCGTAACATCAACCGGGTTATGAGACGAAAGGGTTATTGTTAACTCGTACCGAACCGAACCTAAGCCATGCGCTTCTGCAATCTTACGAGAAGATAAAGTGTTGGTTTTCCGTTTACGCAACAAAGACGCTAATGGATTAGCATCACTGCTTACTTCTTTATACGTCGGCCGGGAATCGTCATGGTCACTATGAGAAGTGTCTATATTCGATAGTACGTCTTCCATCGGCTTCGGTACTAGAATTTCAAAGCTGTTACCCTGAGAAACGTAAACATTAGTCAGCAAAAAGCAATCGATCAGAATAAGAATGACCACAGAATATACATACCATTATGCTAAGGTTCTCGACAATGTCGCTATTTTTTTCTTGCATCTCGGCTTCGATCCTCAACAATCTCGAATATCTAGCAGACTTTGCTCGATTCTAAAGACAGATAATATGGACATTGTGACAAGTAGTATTTGTAACATTTAAATATAAGTCGCATTACCTCTTCTATTCGCATCTGGTGAATACGATCGGAATGAGTAATGATGTTTGAGTCAGTAGCATAAATCCTGGCATTATCCTTCAAGTAATCAGATGCTAAGCTTAACTAAACGAGCAGAAAGGTCAAACAGAAAAGAGAACCCAAAACGTCAATATTGTCGGCCGGACATAAGCCAAAGAAAGCCTCTTCATATAGTTCAACTAATTCACCTGCATATATGTAGAACCAAACTTTTCGTGCCATTGCTTTACTAAACCAACACACAAAGCTTTAAGCTTTATGGCAAAATTTGCCGGCTGAGGCAGGATCTTTCCGTTAATGCCCACTGTAAGCTCAAGGATTTTCGGTATGTCGACCACAGTTAATTTCCGAAAGTAGCTGGATCGTGTAAACAGTACGTCGAGCAAATGCATCGTTGAGTACCGTACCTACAAACAAATTCAATACATTAGCATTCTGAGTAGGCCTCTACTTTCTCTTTGGAAATTAACTGTTGAACCAACCCTTGAGCTCCGTACGTTTAATTGAGTCAGAATACAGTCATAAGCTGTTTTTATGTTTTCGTCCGATTCTCTGCATAGTAGCTTAAGCTCCTAAAAGTATTAAAAATCTTAAATTAATATGATAAACCAGCGCATGTACGTAGAGGGGCTACTCACCTTGAGTTTTATTTCATCGAGGAATTCGTCGCCGTTCCTCGTTAAGGCCGGAATAAGCTTGACGATTTTTTGCTTTGCTGTAGGTTCGATCGCTGCCATATTTGCAAACTTTGTAATGAAACACGTTTATATTGTGAACAAAGAATATGTCCAGGTTCTGCGCCACTTGACCCACTTGACCTGCCCACTTGTCTCCAATTAGAAAGTGGCTCTTAGTATGAGAAAAAAGTAATAATATTTCCTCAATATAAAAGGTCGAAGCCTGTCTTAATAGAAAGTCAAGTTCGTCTTGAAGGGTATAATATAAATTCTTGATATTAATTATTGCGCGTTACGATTTTCGTTATCATTTATTAATAAATTCATGGCTGGATTGACCTTAAAATCGGGATCAGAAAGTTAGAATATCGCTTTCTGAGAGAAAGCGAGCATTCAAAGACAACAGACGCGTCAGATATATACGACAGAATAACGAGAGTAGTAGTTCCTTCATTGGAGCTATTAATTTGCTTGATTGGTCACTTACGAGTTTCTCCAATAATAAATAGAAGCCTCCATATGTTTATCTACACAAATTCTTGTCTTGACGACCAATTAAATTGCTTGACATCTAGACTTTTTGTCTGAGCGTTTTTTTATTAGATAGCCACATCAAAGGGACAAGTATCGAGTCCCTTTATACCAACAGAGGAATTAACGATTTCGGGCTCTATTGATAGGGAATGAAGTATATTTACAGTAATTCGTTTTTGTTAGAGTATTAGAGAATTGCTTTATGTTCCGAAATAACTGAAAGGATTCGTATGCCACTATCCTCCCTACGTTCTACTGTATGGCACATCGTCAGTAAGGATATCAATTTACATGGGAAAGCCTCCTAACACTCGATCTATTGGAATTGGCGTTTGTTCTTCAGTGAGAGTGTTTTTGCCACTGCATCTTCTACAAGCTCTCCCGGTTCATGTATTCCTTTGGAAACCACTTTAGATAATATGCACAAGAAACCTACTGTACTCCCCAATAAGCTATCTAGTAGTATTCTCCTGATATAGTCAAAATACAAAAAACCGTATTATTAAGTCTACTTACACTATTCTATATCCCAACATGTCAGATTTTTAATTTGAGTCCTTCTATTTCTTCTTCTCTTTTTTTATTGAGGTTGTTTGTTTTGCTGTTCAAGTTCTGTTATTACGTTTAACATACTTCCTTTTTATTTTACTTATTCTTTTAATATACTTATATCCTTTTTATCTGTTATGAGGGTATATTAAGTATATAATTATTTTAATATTTCTTTTTATTTAAGCTTTAAGAATTAAAAGCGGGAAAAGCTAGCGAGATTTGTTGAAAATTAGACGAGAACTTAATGATAGCAAGGAAATTAATGAGCATTGAAGTTACAGAGAGGATTTTAGTCTAAATATTTTATTTATTGCCAGTATAGGTTGGTCTTGGACAAGTAATATCTTTGAATTCATCTCTAAAGAATGGGCGAATATTGTGATAAAGATATTTAATCCAAAGGAGGAGGGGTTGGTACTAGGATGGAAAAGGATTTTCTAGTTTTCAACAAATTAAATTCTGCATAAGCACCATTAGCAGCCGACAACTCCAAGATGAGCTGCTTCAAATACAAAATGCTGACATTTTTGCAAACCATTAAGATCTAAGTATCGAAAGCCTTTTCCGTTGTCATAACGCTGGGCTTTATTTAATCCCGCTGTACTTGATTTTTCACAACCTCGACAATATAATTCACACAATATACTGCTATTGAATTTACCATAAAATTCAATTCGATACTTTCATAATACAGTCAAACCTCGTTATACCGAATTTTCATTATACCGAAGGAATTCCGGCTCCCCCATTTTTTAAATAGTAAAATTCTCTCGTTATACCGTTACCGAAGTTCGATACAGGATTTTTGCGTAGACTACTAATCGCTTTATACCGAAGTTTTATCACGTGATAGAAATTGTAGAATAGTGATTGGTTGTAGCAGATGAGGATCATTACGATTTTTGGTCATATCATACGACACGTATATCTGTGTGCCAATATTTCTGATCGTATGATTTATTAAAGACGGTAGGGAGAGATTTCGATCATCGCCCTCCTCTTCTTCTGTGTCATCTGTCACCATTTCCTTGCTTATGTTTGATGGAAAGATGCAGTAGTCGCACTTGAAACGGCATTCAACAAGGTGACATAGAAATAAATTACGATGAATTTAAAGCCTTTCGTGCGTTGAAGAGAAAGGTGGGATTGCATAGTATTGCAAAGCAAAAACAAACTCTAATGAATTCATTTGTTACTGATTAGTAATATATTCATGTATTATTTTTTGTAAAGATATTATTCACATAAGTTTCATTATAACGAATATGGCTTGACGCTAGGCCTAACTTTGTTATATAGAGGTACCTCACTACACAGGCAAACTCGATAATTCGGTCATGTCATGATGGACCGAGAGAACCGACTTATCGAGAGATTTTAAATATTAAAACTGAGAAAAGGGCTTGGGAAGTTTTGGCCTTCTTAGGCCAAAATTGAATCATCGAGAGACCGACTTATCGAGTTTGCCTGTGTATACCGAATGTCTCGTTATACCGAATCATGGATGCCTCCCCCGGCACTTCGGTATAACGCGGTTCGACTGTAACCACAAATTACTAAATAGAGGTAAAATCAAATAGTGGCATTATTTTTATTCTGACCACCCTCGTTGTCACAAGTAATTTTTAAATGCTTTTCACCTCTATTCAATCTCTTACTTAATTCCATCGAATACCATGCTCAGCGTGCTATTAATTTCGTTTTCATTGAGAACGTAATTAATTTGTTCACAGACTGAGATAATAAATCTTACTTGTTGATCGGAATGGGGAACGTGAACGTAATTACAATTGAACACAAAATTGAGATGTGGTGAGAACTGAAGAATGCTTATAGCAGAAGCAACATCATCTTTCTATTAAGCTTAAAAAAAAAAGAACACCAGCTAGTAGGTGTCAAAAGTCACATTGAGTATGTATTTACTCTGACATAAAACAATCTCAGCAAACTGGCCAGATTGTGATAAACAGAAAGTTTTTGAAAAATATAATCTTAATTTCACAGCTTTTGTATTGGGTATGCACAAAAAGCAGACTTTATTAAATGCAAATTGCTAACAACAAACAACTACTGTGACACAATAAGCCATATTGAAACTCATAATTATTATTGCTAAAACTTAGTCAACAACACTTTTCTTACCAATCCAGATCATTTGACAACCTTAATTACAGGATGCCAAGCATTTACTTCAATTGTTTTTATCAATACTAATACTAATGACAATTTACATCTTTATTATTGTTTTTGCTGTTGACTGCAGCACATCACAAGCCAACACACACTGACCTAGTTGTTCAAAACCAATATTCCCTTCAAACTTCTGTGACATTTTGTAGGTTAGGTCTTGAATGCAGAAACTGAACATCAGAACCCTAACTACAACTGTCTGAGAAGCCTTGCCAATGACTTCATCTCCTTCTGGAAGTCATGTTGACAGCCTTGCTTTGAGAAGGCAAAATCAATGAAAAAAGCATAGAATTGGCAGCCATCGTGTTTAATCAGAATGTTGTCCTCACAAATGTCATTGTGGACAAAACCATGGTGATGGATTGATTCCAGTGCTGTTTGAATCACCAGATGCTCCTGCTTACTCAAGCTTTCCACATCCTCCAGGGGCCTACCAACAATGTCTGTTGCAATGGCAAATAGTCCACCAGCAGTGTATCCAGCACCCTTGAACCTTGGAATGCAATCTCCCTGCAGGTCCTTCAAAGCATTATATACCTTGACCTCATTGAGTAATTCCTTTTCATAGTCTGGATGTTGCCACAAATCACATATTTTTAATGCCACCATCTCTCCATGCAGAATAGCCTTGAACACTGTCCCAGTATGGCCCTTTCCAAGGATGTTGAGTACTCTGAAGCTTCCCCAGTCAAAGAATTCCAAGGGCACATGCTCTTCTTCTCCATTCAATGGATGACTTGGACAAGTAATTGTTTTTATTCTCTTGCCTCCTTTGTCTCCCATCTTATTTCTGCAGTTTCTCTTGGGATTTCTTCTTCTGGTGTTCTCCTTGCTTGATTTTTGTTTTTTATTTTGTCCACCATCATCATAGGAAGAATCTCCATTGTCATCATCAGGTGATGGATCATCATCATGAGGCTGTGATGGTAGTGGTAATGATGGTGCAGAATCGCAGTTATGCTTGTTGTGAGCCAGAGAGGTGAGATAGAAAAGACATTGGAACAGTGTTGGCTGTTGATTATTATATTGAATGGCAGGTGAGACATGGAGCTGACTGGGTTCTTCAAGAGGTCTGTATAGAAACCAAGTTTTATCATAAGTAGTAAGAGCTCCGAACTGGAGATGGTTGTGTGAAAGGTATCCAAAAACCTGCTTCAGTTGATTGTAAACAGATATTGGAGAGGTGATATGCTCAACGAGATTCTGGGCATACATTGTCACCAGGTCATCTGTAGATAAAGCCCACTTTGTTTTTACCTCAATAATGAGATGCAGGACATTCAAATCTTTCTGTATGAAATCTGGCTCTCCTATGACATTTTCTAAAGAAGCATGGCGATCAAATACTTCATGTTGTTCCAGCAGAATATTGAGAAAACGAAATACATTTTGGTTGAGTGCTTCCCTCACACTCTCTTCATTGCATATTCTTAGGTATTGTTGAAATTCCAGACAGGAGTACTTTGGGGTGCCATCCCAGGTGGTATTATTTACATTGTCCTCAAAGTCATCCCATGTAATGACAGACTTTGGCATGCAGGCATACATAGAGTTTGTGGTTCCAGTACTTCTGGCTCTGTTAATGTAGCTAAGAGGAGGTGGGCAGAGCTTGAGAAAGTCAGATTCACTGAGAAGATCTGTGAAAAAAAAAACCAGCATTATTTCGTGTACAAGAACTCCATAAGATAAAGAAGGTGGATATGAAAATTGCAAAGGACATCATTCTATCTACATTCTCTATACACAACTTAGACAATGCTGTAAATGGTGAAGAGATGAATGAAATGTGCTATGTGTCCTATTACTATGCTTGTGGTGCATATAATGGTATTTGAATTGCTCTGTGTTCCAACCCCAATGCATGTTGTCAACCATCCTCCCAATAAACTGCTTGCTTACCTTGTTCTTGAAACCTATCAACAATCGTTGCATCATCAGCTTCAGGATTCATTGCTCTGTACTGAGTGGCAAATGCTTTATATTTTTGTGGGTCCATGTTGTCAAGGGAGACGAACGAATGTGTGACGCGTTTATATCTTGCTGTGCTCCATGGGCATATCACGTTGTGGAACAATTGAGTTTGAAATATCTTATTGCATGCTTTTGGTTCAGCAATATAAAGCTTATGGATTTATAATTTTAATTTACTGCATGTGATCATTCCTCTCCTAGTTAATCAGATCACAAACGTTTTGTTGGATATTGGGTGTTTTTGTTGGTAGTTCGTTCATTTGTTTAATATTAAGTGTCACAGCTGATGCTGAAATCCGGCTGAAGCTGAAACCATGACTTTTCATTGGTTGATCAGATTTTATTCTCTAATCCCATTGGTTAGTTTCAGCTTCAGCTGGATTTCAACATCAGCTCTCACATTAGACATTGAAAACCCGGGAAATGAATATTATTATACATAATACTCGAAATTCGTACAGTTTTTGATTGGTCATGGGTGGATGTCACACAACAATATCGGTATAAATATATATTGCGTCATACGTAATAGCGAGGTTTTAATAGTAAGAATCGGTATAACCAGGTGAAATTAAATAAGAATGTTTTGGTAATGACAAATTTCATCGTCAGATCCAGTTATCGTTATATTATATCCAGTCTTGACTGTATACGACAAAATACGTAGTACATCTCTTCCTTTGTGCAGACAGGAATTTCGACTTTTCGATGTTTTCTGCTTAATTGTTTATATGAGAACTTGCTACCATTGATATAAATTGTCGCGCCCATCTACTTAAGTTACGGCTAGCAAATTCATCTTCGAAATTGTTTTCAATTAAGTTAATTATATTATCGGCTGTGTCTTTTGTAATTACGCTTCTGTCAGGATTGGATAAACTGTCAAGATGTTTTTTAACAATCTGATAAAAAATTTTTTTTTGAGAGGAGTGAATATTCAATTGATGAATCTGCCATGTTTAACGCTGTGTATTTTCTCCAAGCTTCATCAAACGCAAGTATTTATAACTATTTGCTACGACTCATTCTTCTTAAGACGCCGATAGATTATAAATTTTTTCAATATAGCTGCGACGTGTCGATTGTTAAAAAACGGCTTTGAATAACTAAATAAGTTAGTGATAATTCCTGGAATAAAGAGCGTGTCTTGTGCAGGTTGAAAAAAAAAATGAGTTGAGTTACTGAATACGTTAACAATGGTTCTTTATTGGTGCGGGGATGCAAGCATGGCTCGACATATCATTGTAAAAAACAAGCAGCTGAGCAGGGATACACTAAAGCACGAAATAAGGTTTATTTTTTGAATACAATGACAAATCCAAGTTAAAAAGAAAGATACTAAAATTTATCAGCCAACCAAATTAGAATAAAATTTTTATCACTGGATTACAAAGCTATTAAGCAATTTATTTGTTGTTGGTATCTATTTGAAGGCATCACAACAATGAGTGTTATAATAGACAGCTACTAATAACAACAAATATGACATAGTTTTCCTTAACAACATTTATCTCCTCAACCAGTAATTGCAATTTTGTATAATAATAATAATACATTATAGGAATTAAAAAAGATTAAGATGTACACTCCCCTGCCAAAAGTCATGAGACTGTTCTAAAATTTACTAGTAAAACATATGAACAAACTCTTTTTTCAAAAATCTCTCTTTCTGCAAACACTATATATGTGGCAATAATTTTATATGGTTTTGAAACTAATTGACTGTGCTGTTTGAAAAAAATAACAGTAAATTTTAACACATTATTATTAGCTAGATAAAGTGTTATGAAATGATAGTTACAGTGTGTGACGAAAAAAAAATGCCCTCATAAAAAATTACATAACTCAACAATTACAAGGAATAATTAAAAGCAAACAGTTTGTTAGATAGCGTATTAGGTACTTACTTGATATAAAAAATTTTAATACATAATCTTATTATCATTTCCTCATTATACTTGCTTGTATCACACAAAAATTTATCATCTATTTTCCGAAATTTTCCGATAAATATCCTCCTATTCCCAATTAATAATGCAGATGCAAATTTCACTGTAAATGCTTTACATAGTAGTCATCCGTTGA